GTCAGAGTCTCCGGATGTTTTAATCACAGTAAACCTTTAATTATGCATACATGTGGAAAAAAAAGTCACGTCTATCTTAATAAAACAGAGCAATGCTACTGAGCTTTGCAGGTTCAGCACTTTGTCTTTACAGCAAGCATATAAACTATTGCGCTGCCACATATCTGTCGGCCGCATTTAACTCACCTCCATCCTTTCTCTTTACGGAGATCAAACAAAGTAAGAGGTTCAAGTATCAGCTGAATTATGAGAGCAGAGGATCCTCACACTCGCTCCTCGAGCACCGTGTTGTGCTGTTCTGCGTGCGGTGTGATCATATATGTAGGACATCGCGAATCCACAATGGCCTTGTGGAGGGGATGTGCAAGTGAGTTCCCAGGAAAGCAATCATTCACATGATCTGTTCCCAGGAAAGTGCTCGGGACTGGAGAATTGTCTGAGAACCTGATTCTGATCCCGAGAATCACATTATTAGGAATTGGGAGGGGAAGTAAGATAAGAGAAAATAAAAAAGTAACCTTTAGAATTTTGGATGGTGGTATAAACCGCTATAAAGAAATGCAAGGATTATTCCGACCGATCCTGGATCAGGTGTTTCTGCAGTTCCAGAATGAAACCGACACAAAAATCTCATTCCCCTGACACTGGGAATCAATCTCGTTCAGATTAAACAATAGTTCCTCCGGTGAACAAGTAAACCTCTTGTGCATTTTGTGGGCCAAACAAAGTCCAATTGTCAAAGACTGTTTGATTGAGTTGACAGCAGTTTGGGACTCAGACTGCCTTTATCTGAGGTACAGTCGACTTGAGGTACAGATCAGCCATGATCTACATAAATGACGCAAAAGGCTTGAAGGGCTGAATGGCCTCATCCTGTTCTTATCTGGGCATAAGCCTGGCTCAGTCAGCAGCACTCTCTCGCTTGCCTCGAGTCAGAAGATTGTGTGGACTTGGAACCCAAATAGTCTAAGATGAATTTCCAGTGCTGAAGACCTTTCTTTTCGACCGCGTCTTGGGTCACCTTCCTCCCCCTCCCCCTGGTTCGGTCCCGGGATCCCTTACTGTAAAGCGCTCTGAGACGCCGTCCTGCGTGGAGGGCGCGATATAAATCCAAGTGGTTGTTGTTGTTGTTGCTGTGCTGGGGCAGCGATGCAATGTCGGAGGCCTGATCCTTCAGGTGAGGGATGAGACGTTAAACCAAGCTCCGTGCCTATCTGTAGCTGCTCAGGTGGACGTTTAAGATCCAACAGCGCTTTTCGACAAGAGAAGGGGTTCCGCCCAGTGTCCCGGCCAACAATCCCCCTCCCCCCGATAAAATTGGTTGTTAACTTCACAGCTGTTTGTGGGACATGCTCCCCACATGTCAAGGATCTAACTCAAATGCCAGGATTATTACTTGACTCGTCTACCAGACCATCGTGGCTCCAGGCACTGGCTGTCCCAGAACAGCAACCCCACGTGTCCAATCATTCACTCCCTCCGCTCAAACCACCTCCTTAAGGCAAACCCAACTTCCCACTCCCTCACATGTACCCTCCCCAACTCTCCACCCTCCACAACCATCTCTCCTATACACCCCAAAATCCTCTCCGCATCACTCTCTCCTCCCTCCCCCACCTCCAGCAAACCCACCCGCATTTCCCTTCAAAATGTCCGTTCCCTCTCAAACAAAGCCCTCACCATCCACGACCTCATCCTGGACGAGCACCTTGACATCCTTGGGTTCACCGAAACCTGGCTCTCCCCCAATGACCCCGAACCCCTAGTGGAAGCCTTCCCTCCAGGCTGCACCTTCCACCACACACCCCCATCCAAACCAACGTGGCGGCGGGGTGGCCCTCATCTCCAAAGCCTCCCTTGGCCTCAGCCCCTACTCCTCTGGCTGCTTCCCCTCTTTTGAGCATCTCACCCTTTTCCACCCTTCTCTCCCTTTGAAAATTCTCCTTGTTTACCGTCCCCCTAAACCCCCCGGCTCCTTCCACACAGACATTTCCACTCTCCTCTCTTCCCTGTCCCTCTGCGCCGAGCGCCTACTCATATCGGGCAATTTCAACCTCCACCTAAACTCCCTTTGCACCACCTCTGCTGATTTCACTGCCCTCCTCTCCTCCCTTAACCTGACCCGACTTGGACGGCTTTCAAAATGGCGCCCGGAAGTGACGTCCGGCTGCGAGTTTCGACCATCGTTAAGGGGGGGAATTTGCAATGGCCCTCGCTACTCGCGACTCCCGCTCGGTTCCCCTGGGTTTCTCGAGGCCCCGCAGCTCGCCGGCTCTCGACTCGGGTAATTATTTCTCTACCTCTGTGTACCCAGCAGACAGTAGGAACCCGCCTGTTAGTCGGTTGGTGGTTCACTTTTCCGGTGGTAATATTCCCTTCAAAAAAAAGAAATAATAATTTGGTCACTTCAATCCACGACTGTTTGTGGGGACGTCGCTGTGCATCAATGGCTGCCGCGTTTCCCCCACAAAATACACAGTCATTACACTTTACAATATTCTGAGAAGCGCTTTGAGATGCCTCGAAGACGTGATGAGGCGCTGTATGAAACGCGAGGATTATTACTCTTCAATGCACCTGAATTGGGGGATTAATCAGAGGCCTCGGCTGTTCCACTCGCCCCGCGCTGGTGGCACTGCTGTGGTCCAACATCATTATAATAACGAGCTTTGCATTTGATACAGCGCCTCATCACGTCTTCAACACGTCTCAAGACGTTGCGATACATGACACTGGACTGGCTCCGGGTTCCTGCATGTCCCTCGTGCCCTCCTTTCCACCAATGGCGGCTGCGCTTTCAGTCACTACGCCCTGAAACTCTGGAACACACTTCCTCTGTCCCTTCGCGTTGTCCATTCCGTCCCCATCTTCAGGTCACTCCTGAAGACCTTCCTATTCGACCTGTGCCTACGGTCACTCCCCATCCCCTGGGGTTGGCTTTGCGTTCCGCCATTGTCAAGCGCTCCAGGACCCTACACTGCGGGAGGGGCACTGCGCAAATGTAAGTTGTTGCTGCAGTGGCCGGACCTCACCACAAGGTGGCGACACAAGCGGCTCAGGAGGACCTTTGGTCCATTGACATCCAATGGTTCAATTGTAATGTTCATTACATCGCCGCCCAGTGGCAGCTCCAGACATTACATCTCGATCCAGAAAACTCCTGATAACTCGACACCGGCTAACCTTGTCTCTGCCACGGAGTCCCCATGTTGTCCGTGACCCGGCCACAGCCCTGTGCAAGGAACGCTGTTCAACTTGTTTCTCTGCTTAACACAAAACTCATCACACTCCAAAAATGCTCTTCGTTACACAGGATCAGATAACCGGCCGTGACCCGAAGCCAACATGAAGATAACAGTCACAAGTTACAATGGCTTGTCACGTCTTCGAGACGTCTCAAAGCGCTTCACAGGATTCACTGTAGAATGAATTGAATGTGTATACGAGATACTGATATTAGATCCAGAACTTCAGAGATTTCATTGGAAGGAAATCAAGTTCAGTGACTATAGCAAATCCCACTCTCTCTTGTCTTCCACCTGATAGTGTCTGTCTGGTAGACGAGTCAAATAATAATCCTGGCATTTGGGTTAGATCCCTGACATGTGGGGAGCATGTCCCACAAACAGCCGTGAAGTCAACAACCAATTTTATCGGGGGGAGGGGGATTGTTGGCCGGGACACTGGGCGGAACCCCTTCTCTTGCCGAAAAGCGCTGTTGGATCTTAAACGTCCACCTGAGCAGCTACAGACAGGCACGGAGCTTGGTTTAATGTTTCATCCCTCGCCTGAAGGATCAGGCCTCCGACATTGCATCGCTGCCCCAGCACAGCAACAACAACAACAACTTGAGGCCATTCAGCCCTTCAAGCCTTTTGCGTCATTTATGTAGATCATGGCTGATCTGTACCTCAAGTCGACTGTACCTCAGATAAAGGGAGTCTGAGTCCCAAACTGCTGTCAACTCAATCAAACAGTCTTTGACAATTGGACTTTGTTTGGCCCACAAAATGCACAAGAGGTTTACTTGTTCACCGGAGGAACTATTGTTTAATCTGAACGAGATTGATTCCCAGTGTCAGGGGAATGAGCTTTTTGTGTCGGTTTCATTCTGGAACTGCAGAAACACCTGATCCAGGATCGGTCGGAATAATCCTTGCATTTCTTTATAGCGGTTTATATCACCATCCAAAATTCTAAAGGTTACTTTTTTATTTTCTCTTATCTTACTTCCCCTCCCAATTCCTAATAATGTGATTCTCGGGATCAGAATCAGGTTCTCAGACAATTCTCCCCTCCCGAGCACTTTCCTGGGAACAGATCATGTGAATGATTGCTTTCCTGGGAACTCACTTGCACATCCCCTCCACAAGGCCATTGTGGATTCGCGATGTCCTACATATATGATCACACCGCACGCAGAACAGCACAACACGGTGCTCGAGGAGCGAGTGTGAGGATCCTCTGCTCTCATAATTCAGCTGATACTTGAACCTCTTACTTTGTTTGATCTCCGTAAAGGAAAGGATGGAGGTGAGTTAAATGCGGCCGACAGATATGTGGCAGCGCAATAGTTTACATAATACAATATGATTCACTTTATAGTACGTTCTGCAAAGCGCTTTGAGACTTCTCGAAGATCAGACGCTATATCAAATGTAAGGATTATTATTGTTACGAATCGACGTTGATACGGAGCTTTTCACGTCCCAATGAGATGAACAGTACCGGCCTCGGGAGGGGGAGGGGAAAGTTGACCGAAATCACAGTCAGCGAGGACGGTCTTGAGACAGGAACTTGAACTAACAGTAATATCGTCGTGCTGGCACTCTGCCACCCATTCCAATCTTGTTCTCCCCAAGCGGGTGGGACCTTGACCAGTTCGTCGTGTTCTGACTCAAGGCCACAAACCGTCAACTCAGTTACACAATGTGTGGGTTGACCCTTGCGACCTGACTCAATGTGTGCTTCAAAGATACTTTGTCTGGTTGGATCTGCTGTCTTACTTGCCTAAATTCAGGGTAGTTATACTTGTTCTTCCACCTAAGGGATCTTCCCCCCTTCTTCTCCAATCAAGCATCTTAGAGCGTACCCAACATATTCGACCCTGGCACATCCTTGTACCCATATCTTCTAGATAAGCAGACCCTTTTGAGACAAAGCAGCTTTGCTCATTGTTCTTCAACACAGGACATCTTGCTTCTCCCTTCCAAGGCTGGAGCCCGTCTCTGTCATTTATAAAACATTTATAAAAACCGCGGTCCAACTTAAGTAAGTTAGTTAACTCGAGAGCATCGCTGAGTGGTTGCAGAGAACAACGAAGATTGAAAGCTTGGACAACGAAGACAGAAGACTGAGAGCGAGGCTTGATCGCTTGAAGAACTAAAGTTCGCTTGCCGTAAAGACAAAGTGCTGAACCTGCAAAGCTCAGTAGCATTGCTCTGTTTTATTAAGATAGACGTGACTTTTTTTTCCACATGTATGCATAATTAAAGGTTTACTGTGATTAAAACATCCGGAGACTCTGACCAATTGGAGAAAGTTGTCTCTCATCCAGAACTTGACATCTGACATTACCGAATCCGAACCTGTTTTGAGTGGTTGCAAACACTCTAAAAGGACTGTCGTCCACAATGAGACTCACTCTCTTAATTTAATAATAATAATGATCAATCCTTGCATTTGATACAGTGCCTTATCACGTCGTTGAGATGTCTTAAAAGCGCTTCCCAGAATATACTGTAAAGTGCATTGAATGTGTATTTTGTGGGCAAAGGGTTTACCCCACAAACAGAGCTGATTATTAGGGGGGGTCAGTGTTGTAATGCATTGCCCTGTGTTTTGCTCCCAACACCACAGCTGTTTGAAGTGACGGGAATGAAGATGCAGCCCGGAGACGCGGTGAGGATCAGAGGGAGGATTCTGGAGGAGGTCGAGAGGTGAGAATCCTGTTTTTTCTGTCTTGACCAACAAACACGTTCATCACATCCCCACGTGCGGCTCAGACTGAGCTAAAGAGAAGCAGATTTGGGCTTTGAATCGCACGGGGTCTGTTCAATTGATCCAATTGATACAACTGAACAGTTTTAGTAGATACCCAATGTTGATACCCAACTCGATCTCTCTGCCTCCAGCCTCGACTCCAGGACACTGCTGTCCTGATGGATGTCTGTCAGACGTCAAGTCCTGGATGAGAGACAATTTTATCCAATTGAATACTTGGCTCCCGTCAGCACCTCCTCACCTCAGGTCCTGGCAGCATCACTTCACAGATGCACTCTGACCTCACTGAGTCAGTACGGAACATTTGTGTCTTGTTCGACCCTCAATTATCTTTTAAACCCAATATCTGTGCCACGACCCATTCTGCCGGTCATAGAGGTAAGAATATTCAAATAACGGCATTTTACAACGTTTGCTTCTCTCTGTTCTGCCCAGTTGTAGATTCACCGTGAATCTTGGCAAAGATGACAGAAACATTGCCTTACACTTCGACCCTCGTTTCAATCATCTGCGTGATAAGAAAAAGATTTTCATGGCCACCCGGAAAGATGGCGAATGGGGACATGAGCAAAGAGATGACAACTTCCCCTTCTTTTGGGGGAAACAAGTGGAGGTAAATAGTAAAGGAGAATACTCATAATAATCCTTATATTCGATACAACAACAACTTGCATTTGCACAGCGCCCTTCATTCAGCGCAGCATCTGGGAGAGAGTCCCAAAGCTTCAAGGGGTAGTGACTGAAATCACAGGAAGGGATTGGCGGAGAGGGAACGAGGGACAAACAGGAAGCCAGAGACAGCCGAGCGGAGGCAGTGGGTAGTTGAGTAATGGAAAGGTAATGGCAGTGGGTGAAGGGATTTGTAGACGAGTGAGAGGATCTTGAAATCGATCCATAGCTTTGATCGGGAGTCAGTGGAGCCCAGTGAAGACTTGCGTCAGATGTAGTTTATTGTGAGTGAAAGCACGAGTGGCGGAGCCCAGTGAGGATGGGAGTGACGAGCTCGCAGACGTGGGAAATATTCACTCACGAAACACTCCTTTCCATTTACAGATTATGATTGCCTTCTTGGGCGACACGTTTGAAATCAACCTCTCGACTGGTCACCGGATTGTGTTCCAAAACAGCCTGAAGATGGAAATCCTCACCTACATGTCTGTGGTTAATGTGGCGGTGTCAGATATCAAATTTTGCTGAGGGGCTGAGATGTCTGAACCGTTAACCAATAAAAACTGCTGAAGAGCCCTTTGACTTGTCCTTATTCTCCTGTAGTAGCCGCTGCCTCTGCTTGACCCCCATGCCCTCCTTTGCACCAATGGTCCACCTTTTAAGCCAATATGCACCAAATCTCTGGCACACTCCCCCCTCTATGTTGGGGGGCGGAGGTAGGAGAGCGTGGGGTGGAGCCAACGCCAGGCCGTGTCGAAAAGCACAGCCAGGTGAGGAGCCACTCACTCGGGAGCGGACCTGGGAGGCTAAGCCTGAGGGCTGCTGCCATCCCACTGATTGCTGGCTCCCGGTCTCTGCATGTGCCTCCCCCTAAATGTCTCTCCTCCCACCCCACTCTACATCTCTCCTCCCACCCCACTCTACGTCTCTCCTCCCACCCCACTCTACATCTCTCCTCCCACCCCACTCTACATCTCTCCTCCCACCCCACTCTACGTCTCTCCTCCCACCCCACTCTACATCTCTCCTCACACCCCTCTCTACGTTTCTCCTTCCCCACCTCCCCCCCCATCCGCTACTCTACCCTCTGTCCTTCTCTCCCACCGCCCTCCCCGGCTTCTCTCTCTCCTCGACCCCATCACCATTTCCCTTTGCTACCAGAAAGACAATATCAGGTGGAAGACAAGAGAGAGTGGGATTTGCTATTGTCGTGGAACTTGATTTCCTTCCATTGAAATCTCTGAACCTCTGGATCTAATATCAGTATCTCGTAGCTCAATGGTTTGGGCAATCGCCTCACAAGCAAGAGGACCTGGGTTCGATTCCCGGGCAGAGCAAAACCTTGCATATACATCACTCTGATTCAATACTGCAAGAGTCAAAGTAAATGACACATAAAATTAATCAGAATATCTTCAAGTAATATGAGGAACGTTGGCATTGCAGCATTTATAGATACTCCTGTTCCAGATATTCTCCCCAATATTTTCAAACCATCAACCATCGTCTTTAAAGACTACCACTTCTCCCTCTTTATCGTGGAGTCCTGTAGCTCAGTGGTTAGAGCACTCGCTTTGCAAGTGAGAGACCTGAGTTCAATTCCAGGCAGAGGGCGAAACCTTGGGCAAGTTTCCTTACTCCACACAGAGCCTAATAATAATCCCTCCAAAAAAACCAAAAACAATAATAAATTGGTCATTTTCAATCTACGACTGTTTGTGGGACATTGCTGTGTGCAATTGGCTGCCGCGTTCGCCCACAAATATACAGTCAATTCACTTTACAGTGTGTTCTGTGAAGCGCTTTGGGACGTCCTCCCGACGTGAAAAGCGCTATATCAAATGCAAGGATTATTATTATTATTATTATTAACTATCACGGTTGGTCATTGTTTAATCTGCCTCGCCACTTTGTGCTCATGCCGTGTGTCCCGAATTACTCGACCTTATCTACAATTCAGTGCAGACCCTGATATTCCTTCTCTCTCACTCCTAAAACTATGTACTTTTTCTTTGCTGCTTACGTTTCCAGATTTCACCCACAAAATACACATTCAATTCACTCTACAGTGCATCCGGTGAAGCGCTTTGAGACGTCTCGAAGACGTGACAAGCCATTGTAACTTGTGACTGTTATCTTCATGTTGGCTTCGGGTCACGGCCGGTTATCTGATCCTGTGTAACGAAGAGCATTTTTGGAGTGTGATGAGTTTTGTGTTAAGCAGAGAAACAAGTTGAACAGCGTTCCTTGCACAGGGCTGTGGCCGGGTCACGGACAACATGGGGACTCCGTGGCAGAGACAAGGTTAGCCGGTGTCGAGTTATCAGGAGTTTTCTGGATCGAGATGTAATGTCTGGAGCTGCCACTGGGCGGCGATGTAATGAACATTACAATTGAACCATTGGATGTCAATGGACCAAAGGTCCTCCTGAGCCGCTTGTGTCGCCACCTTGTGGTGAGGTCCGGCCACTGCAGCAACAACTTACATTTGCGCAGTGCCCCTCCCGCAGTGTAGGGTCCTGGGGCGCTTGACAATGGCGGAACGCAAAGCCAACCCCAGGGGATGGGGAGTGACCGTAGGCACAGGTCGAATAGGAAGGTCTTCAGGAGTGACCTGAGGATGGGGACGGAATGGACAACGAGAAGGGACAGAGGCAGTGTGTTCCAGAGTTTCAGGGCGTAGTGACTGAAAGCGCAGCCGCCATTGGTGGAAAGGAGGGCACGAGGGACATGCAGGAACCCGGAGCCAGTCCAGTGTCATGTATCGCGACGTCTTGAGACGTGTTGAAGACGTGATGAGGCGCTGTATCAAATGCAAAGCTCGTTATTATAATGATGTTGGACCACAGCAGTGCCACCAGCGCGGGGCGAGTGGAACAGCCGAGGCCTCTGATTAATCCCCCAATTCAGATGCATCGAAGGATAATAATCCTCGCGTTTCATACAGCGCCTCATCACGTCTTCGAGGCATCTCAAAGCGCTTCTCAGAATACACTGCAAAGTGTAGTGACTGTGTATTTTGTGGGCTAAACGAGGCAGGCATTGATGCACAGCGACGTCCCCACAAACAATCGTGGATTAAGTGATCGAATTATTATTATTTCTATGGAATAATTACCCTCGTTAAAGCCATCCACCAGTCGACTAACAACCAGCTTCCTATTTACTGCTGGATAAAGAGACGTGCGTGTTAAGAAAAATTGCCGAACTGCCAAAATAAGTAGATTTAAGTCAAAAATCTTTTGGGAAACCATTTGAATCCCAAATGTTTAACATTTTCTCGGAGAAGTGAGGAGAGGACATTGTGTTGGCAACCTAAGAGGAGAGTTGGCAAGTCAAAGAGTTGCCTTAGCACCTTGATGATAACAATAATTATCCTTACATTGAACGTCGTGCCTTAAAGGATCGTTGAGACGTCTCAAAGCGCTTCACAGAAAGATGTCGTATCAAATGCAAAGGGTCATTAGTATTAATGTACGGTTCATTTGCGGGTTTAGCGGACGCTTTGCTGCACAGTTGTGGTTCGAAGCTGAGAGGAGGTACACTGTGTGTAAATGATTCATCATCAAAATTAATAACTTTCCGGATCACAATTGGCAGCTGGGAAAATGCTTCTTGGTTTACATTGAGCCCCGCAAACAGCTTCAGTACCGCGTCGTGTCCCGCAGGCGGCGCTGTTGGACCACAATGCCCTCTACCTGAACATCGCCCACTGAGGGCGACAGGTGGTACTGCCAATACCGGGTTATATCCCCCAATTCAGGAGCATTGAGGAATAATAATGATGGCATTTGATACATCGCCTCATCGCGTCTTCGAGACGTCTCAAAGCGCTTCATGGACTATACTGTAAAGTGAATTGACTGTACATTTTGTGGGTGAAACGCGGCAGCCGATGGCGCACAGCAGCGTTCCCCCCCCCCCCCCCCCCCCACACACACACACAAACAGTCGCGGATTGAGTGACCGAATTATTATTATTTTTATTTCGAAGGAATAATTACCCCCGGAAAAGCCATCCGCCAACCAGGTTCCTGCTTACCGCTGGTTACACAGCGCTGTGTGGAGTTAACAATGTTGATCAAGACATTTCGGTGTCAAAATATGAACAACGATACTGATAATCCTTGTGTGCGATTGGCTCCTTGTCGTGTGGGGAGAACGTCCTGAAGCGCTAAACAAGAAATCCTGTGACGTGTTGTGACTGCGCTTTCAAGAGAACGCAGCAGCCATATAGGATCGCAGCCGCGTCCCACAACAGCCGTGAAGTCAACCGCCAATTTAATCTGGGGGGGGTGGGGGGTGTGCGGAGAGAGGGGGAATCATTGGCCAGGACACTGGGAGGAAACCCTTCTCTTATTGCGTAGCGCCACTCGTCCCACTGCCTCGCTCGTACCCCATAGCCCTGCAGCTCAGATACCTATCCAATTCCCTTTTGAAAGCCACTATCGCGTCTGCTTCCCCCAGGATTTCAGGCGGTGCATTGCAGACCGTTAACAACTCTTTGGATAAAAAGCAAATGTCTCCTCGTCTCCCCTCTTGAATCTCTGTGCCCTGGTTACCCGCCCACCGCAGAGGAAAGTTTCGTCCGATCTGCCCTACCAAAAACCCCTCGGAATTTTGAACGCTTCTATTAAATCCGCCCTCCGCCTTCTCTGCTCTCAGGAGAGCCGTCTCTCCAGGTAAGTGAAGCCCCTCGCCCCTGGTACCATTCTGGTAAATCTCCGTTGCCCCTCTCTCCAAGGCCCTTCCGAAGGTGTGGTGCCCAGAATTGGACACGATTATACTCCGTACAAATGGGAGTTGACGTTTGCGCAACTTGCCGGTCACTTCCTGGCTGAATATTTGACCTAAAGCAACAAAGCAGAGTCGGGCAGTGTTTGGTAACATAAACGCCAACTTTATTCACAAGGTTTTGAAACTGTTTTTGACTGAATCACTGATATCCCCGACAAACGTCACACACAGCAAGCAACGATACATCGCTGACGAGTTACTTACAGTAAGAAAGTTTTGATGCTTCCTCCCTCCCTCCCTCCCTCCCCTCCTAACACTCCCCACCCCTCAAATTTTGTTCTCTCTGCTCCTGCTCTCACAATGCCACGAATCTGGAAGGCAAATAAACACCTCTGTACAAGTGAAGCTTTAAACAGCTGCATAACAGCTGAGGAACGACGCGCGCGAGCGCGTGTGTGCGTGTGCGTGTGGCGGAGGGGGGAGGGTGGTGGTTGGGGAGTGGATTGACTGTGTATTTGTGGGCGATAAAGGTTAAGACCCAATACCTCGTGTCTGTGCAGGGTTTAGCGGTGCACTGACACACCAGGAATCCGAAACAGCACGAGGGAGGGAGGCAGACGGAAGAGACGACTCTTGGCAACATAATAAAAGCAGTAATCCTCGCATTTGATCCGGCGCCTTATCGAGACGTCTCAAAGCGCTTCGCGTTATATACCGTCAGGTGAAATGGACCGTATATTGTGTGGGAGAAATGTTGAATTACGTTGAATTAGGGGGAAAAAAAAAATAACACATATACAAACGCACAACTGTTTGGAGGCTTTCG